TATTGCATGTAGTCAGCAAAGTGAAACTCTCGAACATTTACTAGAGTGTCCAGCATACAAAAAACAACTACAGGAAGTATAGAATAAAGAACAAGATGGGATCCTTAAAGACTTCAATGGGCTCTTACAAGAGAGAAAAAAAGAGGCAGAAGAAAAACATGCAAGATTACTTATCCAAAATGAAGAAGAAATGGCCGAGGTAGATAAATAGATCTCCAAATTGGTAGAACAGATCTCAAAAACCAGTCAGGACACTTTAAGTTTTTGTACAAGGCTAGTAAGAAGAGACCTAATCTGAGAAATTGAAGATCTTAAATGCCATAAAAAAAGAATTGGTAACAAGGCAAGAAGATGGATATCAAAGATGCAAAGAAGAGTATGCAATCAAATAAGGAAAAAGATTTGGAACAAAAGATGTGAGAAGATGATTGAATGGGAATATTCACAGGGGATCCGCAGAGTAGATAAAATTAACTGACCCTCAGGCACATACAGCTTAAAACCATTAGTTCCAAAAAGTAAAGATCCCCTATCAGAGGAAGAAACTCAAGAAAATGAAAGCCTGAAAGAAATTCTACTCAAAGGTGCTACTTTACGGAATGAAGTGGTTGGATTTTAAGCTTGGTCAGAACAACAGATAGTGATCTGCAGTGGTGATCTGTGGGCAATGATGTTAAAGGTTGGAAGGGTATTCACCTGAACCGTTAACGAAGCAATAAATCACTCCCGAAGTTGCACTTAGAGTTTTGATATATTAAAACAAAACAGTGACAAGTGAGTTAGGTAAAGTCTTAACTTTAGCGAATCATTTAAAATGTATAGTATACAAATGTTTAATAAAGTATATATACCTAGCCTGACCTAGGGTTAAAAAAAAAAAATAATAATAATTAATTAAATTATAACAATATAAATGATATATTATGTATTATATTATAGTTTATATTATTAATAATTTATAAATATAACCTTAATTCAAAAAAAATTGTACATAAGTTTATCAATTTTTTTACTTTATTATTGATGAATAGTTGTCAAATTTTTAATAAATAGTTAAGGAACATTTAATGAATATTTAATGAATAGTTGCTAGTTTTTTAACAAATAGTTAATGAATTTTTAATGAATAGTTTTAAAGAATAATTACTGAATTTTTAATGAATAGTTGACAAATTTTTGACAAACTATTAATAAATTAATGTTGAATTTTTATTGAATTGTTAATAAATAATTTTATAATGAATTTTTAATGAATTATTGTTGAATTGTTAATGAATTATTGTCAAATTGTTAATGAATTATTTGACAAATTGATAATAAATTTTTTGACAAATTGTTAATATATCAATTTTTGTAGTTATCAATTTATTTATATCCTTTTTTTGCCGAATTGATTATTTTTTGCCAAATGTTATATAAGTGATAGTATGTTGAATAATTTTTTGTCAAATGTTACATGAGTGGTAGTATGCCAAATAATTTTTTGCTGAATATTACACAAGTGGCAGTATGCTGAATAATTTTTTTTGACTAGTAATAGTAAAGAAAAAATTTAAAAACTTGATAAATTTATAGATTATAAAATAGAATATTTTTCAAAAGAAAATTAAAATATATTTAACTTTTGTATTGAATTAACAAGAAATAATATGATAATAATAGTAATGAAACTAAACTGCTATTAAAGGAAGACCAGCTTATAAGCAAGAAGGTGAATGTTAAGAATATAAAAAAAAGTTAGTTTGTAATCACTTTCAAAAAAAGTATAAAATATATAATATGAAAAATAATAAAATAAGAATAGACTCAAGGAATTAATAGAAGAAACAAACTCAAGAATTTTAAACAACTATCTAATATAAGAAAATAGAATAAGAAAAGAAGTTTATATAAAATAAAAGAAAAAAAAAAGAAAAAAAAAAAGCCTTATAACAATTATAATAAATAAAATCAAGTAAAATATGAAATTGTTAAGTTTTAAACTTTAGTAAAACTTGATAAAATAATCTATAGTATTTAATATACTTATTATAGCATTTTGTAATCATTTATTATTAGGAGATTGATTTTTTAAAAAATCCTCAAGGCTCAAGTTGATCAACTTTTTTCTTGTTGTACTTAATAAAACTTAATAAGAGAAATGAAAAAAATTTCCAATGATATTTTGAAGGTTGACAAAATTTTAACTGAAGAGAATAATATTATCGATGTAGAAAAAATATGAACAAGTCTATAACGTAATGAGATTTTGGTTTATTATTTTGATTTTTTGTTAAAAGAAAAATAGAATCAAGATCAATATTGAATTTCAATTAATAATAGATCAAATTTTAAAAGTATCATTCTAGTTAGTGGCATTATCAATATTGGAGACTTAACTTTGTTAATTTAGTTTAAATTAAGCATTCTTATATACAGTATAATGTAATTCTTTATGTGATAAAATAAGGTTAAAACCTTTAAAAAAATTTTTTTTTTTCATTTTCGAAATTATCTTAATTGTATTATTTTTACCTTTTACAATATACGTACTGTCAAGGGCAATCGGCCACACAGGAGGCGATAAATTTGGGCGAGTTTTAAGACTATCCTTTATTCATTCTTAGACGTCAAGTACTACCTTGCAAATGCATTCTTTGCTACAATACCACTTTATTATTTCAAATGTTTTATTTTAAATTAAGGTTATCAAAAAATTGCGTAATGATTAAAAGCGCTGCATGCATTTCGTTAAATATTTCAGTGGATCTCTTTAGATGATCGGCTGCTGTTTTTACCCGTAACCGATGAACGTAGTTTCTCTAAATTGTTTTCTTCAGAGGAAGCTCTAGTATCCTGACAATTAAAAGTTGGGAAATAAGAGAACGAGTTACTATGGATGCGCAATTAATACACGCAATAAAAAAAAAAAAATGCTTACCCAATTGCCCGTTTGCTCGTTCATGCCCTAGTAGAAACGAATTTAATTAAAAGCTATTCAACTATTCAATTAACGCTTTTCATTTTATTAGTCATCGTTATGACTTACGATCTTGGCGTTTTGATCTTTACTAACACTTTTTCGATATTTTTCATTATCCTTCTCTTTCACATCTCCCGTCGTTTCTTTTACATCGTCTTTCCCCTGTAAATTTTCCATTAAATCTTGCCCTTTCTCCTTCATAGTTTTAAATGCTCGCTGACCCTTTTCTCGCATCATACCCAACACGTCCTGACTTTTCTCTTTAACGCTTTCAACCGTATCTTTGCCCATGACACTTTCGGCTATTTCTTGACTCTTTTCCTTTAAATTTTCCATCATACCTTGACTTGTTTTTTTCAAGTTCTCCGTCGTCTCTTGTCCCTTCTCTTTCAAATCTTTCATCGCTTCCTGACCCTTTTCACGGGAAGAAAGGCTTTTCCGTCGTACATCATCCATCGTCTCTTCACCCTCTTCTTTCAAGTTTTTCATCGCGTCTTGAACCTTCTCACGTGAATATTGACCTTTTTCCCTTATGTCATCCATTTTACCTTGTCCTTTTTCTTTCATACTTTCCATCGCTTCTTGACCCTTTTCACGCGAGGACTCGACGAAATCCTGACTTTTCCTTTGCAAGTTCTCCGCCGCGTCCTCCCCCTTTTCCTTTAAACTTTCCGCCGTTTCCTGAACCTTTTCACGCGAAGACTCGACGAAATCCTGACTTTTCCTTTGTAAATTCTCCGCCGCACCCTTTCCTTTTTCCTTCAAGTTTTCCACGGTTTCCTGGCCCTTTTCGCGCAGTGACTTTGCGGAGTCCCGACCTTTCTCTTGTACGTTCTCCATCGTATCATGCCCCTTTTTTTTTAGATTTTCCATTGCACCTTTGCCCTTCTCCTGTAGGGACTCGGCGGCATCTTGACCTTTCTTCTCCCGACGATCTCGAAGCCCACTTGCTGCGGCTTCAGCTTGAACGTCTAAAACGCCGGGGGTTATGGCCTTGTCCACGGTATGACCTTCAGAAGTTGGCCTATCACGAGTAGAGCCGGTAACGCATTGCGCTAGATAGGCTTGCCTATTTTGCTGATAATAATGTAAAATGGAAATATGAAGTAACCTTTGATTACCATACGGATTTAAAGACGCTCCACCGATATTGGCATGGGTCATAGAGAGTTTTCTATGAACCCCGAGAATTTTACGAGCTTGAAGCATATCGAATAAAGGAGATCGAAGAATTTCTTTTGTAAAGCGTAACTTGGATCAACTCTCTTTAACGAGTCGAGTTTGATGCGAATTGGTCGAGTGACAAAAAATTTTAGGAAGTTGACCTTGCAAAAAAGTGTTGACGTTGGGACAAGTATTGAAAAAAAAATAGTTTCTAGTGGGAATGTTTTCTTTTATACAGTTCGGAATATACAATCACAATTTATCAATATAGCTGTCTCCGTTCGCATCATACTTACGAAAACATTACGGTCATCACGTGATAAGATTATCAGGAGGTAATTACGTTCGCCTCACGTAGACTGCACATTACGCATCACTTACCACTTACAGAACAATTTCTTTTTCAAGAGCATTCATTACCAGGAAGAAACCAGTTGGATGCTCTTTTTGTGACTTGTTACTACAGTATTGGCAACTTCATTGTATCGTGTTTTTATTGGAATGAGCGACAAGTTGAATTTTGAAAATTAAGAATTTCTCGACCACACTTACACTACAGTGCCTTTTTTTCCGCGATTTGCGGGACTTACCTTATATGACAAACAAATAGCAAATTGCATCAACCCAAGCATATACTTAAATAGTTTAGGTTGAAATTAAATACGTAATAAGCACTTCTTTTCGGAAAAAAAAAAAAAAAAAAGGAAAGAGGGAAGGAAAATGGCTAGTCCCGCCAGACATGATTACGAAAATCCTGCGGTGACAGATGATGATGATACGGAAGTTTTATCTCATTCCAATCATCTACCATCTACTTTTCTCAAAACTCGTCACTCGCGTTTCAAAACACTTCCGGCATATTATCGATGGGTGATCCTACTTGGATTCTCGCTCCTTTCATTCTCCTCCGCGTGCCTTTGGATAACCTTCGCACCTTGCTTATACATTTTCACCGAATACTTCTCCCAAACTCCTTCTTACATCAATTCCCTTTCATCTGTATACATGTTCACATACGTAATTTTATTGCTTCCTTCGCTAAAATTTTTCGACATTTATGGATTAAGATTTGGTGTAATTTTTGGTGCATTCCTTAATGCGCTGGGTGCATTTATAAGATTCTTAGGATCGATGCGTAAATCGGGTTTTTGGATCCTATTCATAGGGCAGAACATTGCCGCCTCCGCACAAGTTTTCATGCTAGGGGTACCGCCAAAGTTGGCAAATGTTTGGTTCTCGGAATTTGGGGAGCAAAATTTTGCCACTTCAATTGGAGTCACGGCCAACAATGCAGGAATCGCTGCGGGGTACGTAATCACGCTCGTCTCGAAGTGAACGAGGATGTGTCAAAACGAAGATTAAACAATACATTTCCAACCTCACCCCATAGATTTCTATTATCCCCTTGGATGATTAAAGAAAAAACGGCGGAATACGATGTACCGAAATATTTGTTGCTGCAATTTGGTTTTTGTTCGCTGGTCTATTTGTGCCTGCTTTTTACGTTCAGATCAGCACCCAGAGAAATTCCAAGGTGCGTATTCGATCACTCACGGTCTCCGCCTTTACCTCTTCTTGGCCTGATTAAAACTAATCGATTGCCACTGACGTGCGCACGCACACACCTAAATGCAGCCGGATGGTTAGACGAAGGGATTCTACAACTTCACTATCCGCCACAATTTGTTTTTCAAACATTAACCACTACGTTACAGATAGACCATTCATGTTACTAACAGTTTCCTACGGGATGATTACAGGTGGTCAATATGCATTGAGCACGCTATTGGCACAAATAATTCTACCCGTGTTTAGGGAATACAATGAGGTAACTTTTTCGACCTTTGTGCACGCGCGGCACGCCAAATCAAATTAACCTTCATGAAAATGAATTTATGAGTCTCGCGCATCATACCACACGAGAATATATTTTGGTCTTTGACCTGTGCCTTTCGGTTATATACATTTTCCTTCTTCTTCTCTCTTCACTTTTTTCTTTACCTCACGCATGCCTCATTCCAATGCAGGCGGCCGTAGGATATCTAGGTTTCTTTATCGTGATATCAGGAATGATTGGATCACTCATGATCGGAGTGTATCTAGACAATACCCTCGCATATAAAAAATCGTGCCGTGCATTATATATTGGGGCGATCCTCTCCCTAGGAATTTTTAATGTTTCGTTAAAGAGAGAAATTTTAGGTTTAACATTTGCATCAAGGTTTGTTTTCGGTATTGGCGGTTGAGCGAAGCGCGTGAAGTCGGACGGGTGTTAATTGACGCGCTTCTTTTTTTGAACATCACAGCATAGCATTCGGTGTATTTTCTTTCGGTAAGCCAAATATTCCCATCGATTTGTCAGCGCCATTATTATTACTTTAATCAATGTTTGAACGCCAAAATTAGCAATATCCCCGGCGGTCTTTCAGTATGCAACGATGATAACGTCAAAGCAATTGCCAGATGACGAAATTGCAACGACCGGAATCCTGAATACCTTTTCTCAAATATGGGGAATCATCCTGATTTCCGTCATGAGTTCAATCGAAAATTCGGATAGCAAATATACCATGGAATTACCAAACTGGGTATTATTCATAATTGTGTCATTTGGTCTGATTTTATTATTGTTAATGCCAGCAGCAGAAGACAGTAATCTTGGTTCTCGGGACGAATTGCTATATGATGAAAATTTTATTGAGGAAATTATGGATGAGGAAGAGGGAATCGAACGGTAAAACTGTGTTAGACGGGAAAAATTTCAACATACAACGGATTAACTTGCGGTCGTACCGCCCTTTCATTCAAGGGTCGATGAACTTTGATCTTTGGCTATAATACTTATGGTATCGAAGATTTGTTTCAACAAGGATTCTTTATCCAACCCAGTTTATTATTATTGTTGTTATTGTTATTGTTATTGTTGGTTTTTATTATTATTATTATTATTTTTTTTTTTGGTTTTCGACGTAAAGAAAATCAAGTTAATTTAAAACCTCCTTGAAAGACATTCTCATCTTTCTCACACGAAAATGATTGTCTCACCTGCGTTTTGAACTGATCTTTGGTATTCTTCGTTCGCCTCTTGTAATTCTCGTTCCAAAATTTTAAACGTTTCGATCTACGGTCGGAGAGAAAAAGGCAGTCGGTTGGTCACCTTGACAAAAAAAAAAAAAGATGTGCGCATCCTCTTTGACCGAAAACACGAGGATACCTGATCCTTCTCGGAACGGTTTAAACCGGGTAGAGCGCCAATCAATAATTCTATTTGCTTTGCGTTCGTGCAGATATCCTGAACTATTTCTTGTTGTTCGCCTATTGTTGTTGCAAAAGGCAGAAAAAAAAAAGATTAAGAATTAAAAATAAATAAATCACGAGTTCATTCACATCACACCTTCCACTCGCATCCGCAACTCACTTTTAAACTTTTGCGGATCCTGAATTTGCACTGAATATAAAAATTTTTGATTTCATTCGAATCAATTGAGAATACGGTTAAGTGACGTGCGTTGATGGTCAAATTTTTTTTTTCCAAGACAACATACAGTTGGTGTTATTTAGTTTATCAACGACTGTAAGAAAAATGGAGACCATCTTTTCCGCGGACGTGTAAAAACTGGATTAGGAAATTGAGTGAATGCAAATAGCAAGGGGCTTTACCCTAGCGAAACCGACAACACACCCTATCTATGGATTGCTGTAATTGTGTAATCCTGTCCATGCTTATAGACGTTGCTTCACGTAATGTTTCCGGTTTCGGCGGCAGCGGCGAAGGTAAAGAATTTGGCATGAATAAATTGTTGATACGCGGTCGCCAGATGATGATAACCTGCGGTCTATTTATGATAGATTTACTGATTGGCGCGCGATATGATTCGCAGTCAAGATTTTGTTTGTGATACTGTACCATACGGGGTATAAATTGCTGCGCTTATGGTTCGCATAAGTTGCACTTTTCCCGCTAAATTACGATCCTACGTTCATAATGAATGTCACCGAGATCACCACGAGCTCTTCGTCCGCCAACGAAGGTAGGGCAATTCTATGTTCTTTTATAGGAGTTTCCTGATTCTTGTTGACACTCGACACAAACCTATCTCGAGATCCTTTTCGTAGGAGTCTTTTTTTTTTTTTTTCTCCCTTTTTTTTTCTTGCTTCCCTTCTATCTTTTGGATCGCGGCGACTGACAAACTATATTATCGTGCTACTCTTTCGCTTTCAACTGACGAGTTCTATTTTGTCTTCTTTAAGCTGCTGAAGTAGAAGATCTCACCTCGCAACTTGCCGATCTTGATACTACCGAATGTAAATCTTTGCGCCTTTTTACAATGATTGTTTTGCGCGCATCACCTGATTTTTTGGAATTTTGTCTTTTTAAATATAGCGAAGAATAACTTTTTGCTAGAAACGAATAGCGAGGTTAATATCGTAAGAATTCACGAAGACGAGCCTTTACTCTCTGTGAAGAAATTTGAGGAATTGAATTTGTAAGGAGCAATTATTGCATGTTTAATATTTTTTTTTTGCGATTTTTAGCATGTTTTTTTTTTTAAATGCAAAAAAAAAAAAAAAATTTTTTTTTTTGTTAAAAAAATAGGGATCCTAACCTGTTAAAGGGCATCTACGAAATGGGCTTCACCGCACCTTCAAAAATCCAAGCGAAAGCATTGCCTTTGCTCATCAAGTCTCCGTACGTTGTTTTTTTATGAAATAACACATGCATGCATAACGTCCGATTTTTTCCTGCATCTTCATCTTACCACCTGATGCTTTGCGATCCAATCAAACCAGACCTCAGAACATGATCGGGCAGTCTCAGTCGGGCACTGGTAAAACTGCAGCTTTTGTTTTAACAATGCTAAGTCGGATAGATTTCAATTTGAAGGCACCACAAGTAACGAATTTCGCCGTCGTGTATAATAATAATTCGTATTTTGAAATATATTTGACACTCAGTCTAATCGACCGTTCGTTACTTGATGCATTTCCAAGGCGCTTTGTCTGGCCCCCTCAAGAGAACTGGCTCGTCAAATTATGGTGGAAGTCAAGAAAATGGCAAAATACACATCGGTAACAACCGCCGAAGCCATCCGGGATTCCAACACGAACACGAGGATTGGAAAGAGTAGGAATGAAATGTTTAAGGAAGCTCAACTCATTGTTGGCACCCCGGGCACGGTTTATGATTTGATCAAGAGACGCTATCTCGATCAGAGGCACATGAAGATCTTTGTTTTGGACGAAGCCGACAACATGCTGGATCAACAGGGATTGGGCGATCAAAGCATAAAGATAAAAAAGTAATCATGATCAACGTCTTTACGGAAACAATCCCACGCTCTGCGTGCACGGTATTCTAACATAACATTCTCTCCCCGATCATCCAATGATAGCATGATGCCCCGTGATTGTCAGATCGTCCTTTTTTCGGCCACGTATAAGGAACCGGTACGAGCTTTCGCCGGGAGATTCGCGCCCAACGCAAATGAATTTAGTCTGAGAGTGGAGGAATTGTCGGTAAAGGGTATCAAGCAATTCTACATGGATTGTAAAGATGAAGAACACAAATTGGAGGTGTTGAATGAACTATATTCCCTGATGACAATCGGAAAAAGTATTATTTTCGTTGAGGTCTGTTAACTGTGTCGACAGTTTCCCTTTTGCTGATGTGCATAATCTGACATTCATGATCTTTCAAAAGAAACGAGCTTCCGCCGATAGGATCGCCAAATGTATGACAGATATTGGTCACAAAGTTATCAATCTCCACGGTGGCCTTTCAACAACCGAACGCGACGAGGTGATGGACGGATTTCGCAAAGGCAGCGCTAAAGTATTGATCGCCACGAATGTGCTCTCGCGTGGTATCGATGTTATGGAGGTTAACCTTGTGATCAACTTCGATATCCCCCTCAAAAAGGATGTAAGAGGGAGAAGCGAGCCCGACTACGAGACGTATCTACATCGCATAGGGCGTACGGGTCGATTCGGCCGTGAGGGCATCGCCATTAACTTGGTTTCGGATAAGATTAGCTGGGAGATTCTCAAGGACATCGCGCTCTATTACGAGCGAGAGATTGCCAAAATTGAGATAGATGACTGGGATGCGGTCACAAAATTCTTGCGTAAAGAATTTAGCTCGATAAATAAAAGTTCTTAACTTGAACGACATTTTATAATTACACAATATTCTTAATCGGATGTTTTGGAATATACATAGTTCTCAAGGCATTTTACCATAAAGTGTGTGGGATCGTTAGGGTTATTTCGGTGTTGGATTCGGTGTTATTGTTCTATAATCGTCTTGCATATAGGAAGTGTGACAACGATAGATACAGAACTCTCCCTTTTTTTTTTTTAATGTAGATTATCGATAATGATTTTTTTTTTGTTGTCCTAATTATTTTTGCAGTGAAGGTTTATGAGGATCCTTTGTGATCAAAAATAAAAAAAGTCACCAGTTGTTTAGAACAAAGTTAATCATTAAATGTCCATATCCATTGGTACTGAGAACAATTTGCTTAAAATATTGAATTACGTAACAAAGATGTGACGTGTATATTAAAAAAAAAAAATGCGTGGTATGCGTGGTGCGCGTCATGCGTTATATATAGTAGTGCATTTAGTCGAATATCATTTTTCCACCGTGCGTGATTAATACTATTCCCGAATGATGCTAACCATTACTGATTCACCAAATGCAAATGGGATCAAGTAAACGTGGGTGGAACGGTGTTCTAAAAAAAAATTTTTTTAATTCTTGACGATCTGATTCCAATAAAATCAATGAAATTGGAGTAACGATTAATTCGATCAATCCTTAGATGGTATCGAAGAACAGATCGTAAAATTATATTTAATTATGAATGATTTGTGACCACCGGGATGAGACCAGATTTGTGAGGATTCGGTGGGATCGCGCGGGTGCATTTGGAAAAGAGAAAGGCCCTGACATAATATATCACCATTATAAAATTGTGACATACGCCTGATGGGTTAGCATGACGTTAACCATGATTGACATAAGACGTACGTATATAGTTAAATATACCAGTAATATAACGAGATATAACGAGCATTTAAATTAATTTCAATTACTTTATTTGGACACGCAATGTACTATATTTCATTCATACCAAATATATTATGATCGCGTCCTTCCCCTTTTGCCAGTCAGTCTCTCGCCTTCCCACCCTTCCCTGTCCATTTTCACATCTCCTCCTTTTCATACAACTTACAACACATACACTCTTTAAACCAAATTTGAGTGACCGGATTCAATAATCCAAAGGGCGAATTTCCATGTAAACATCAGTACCGAGTGATTCCATTATCTAGTATCATGAGAAAATCCAATACAGCCTTTTAACGAGGAAAAATTTATTATTATTATTTTTTTTTTTTTTTGCCCTCCATCGAATAGCATGGTGGCCGTCGATCCGAATGCCAGCGAATGGCTCAAATCACAACAACGAAGCTCCCGCAAATACCGCATTGTAATTGCCACGCTCGGAATTATCGTGCTGCTAGCAATCATCGGTGGAGTTGCGTTCGCTCTCACGAGAAGCTCTCACGGAAGACCGGACGGTGCGGGTAACGGAAGTAGCGAAAACGGTGGGCACGGAACCAACACTTCTCCCAATAATAACACCGATCCCTCGGGAAATGGAACCAGTGGTGCGCAATATTACACCTGGGACAATAAACCTGTCAACTTGACCATCATTCCCAATGCCAATTTTAAGAAAGCATTCTACGGGATGAATTACGGCCCGGTCAATGCCTCTTTCCCTTGGTGCGGAAACACTTTGGGTGATGTCATCGAGGATATCAAATTGGTCTCGCAACTCACAAATAGGATTAGACTCTACGGAATGGATTGTCATATGGCGGAGTATACACTCGAAGCGATTCTCCTTTTGAAACTGAATATTACCATCGTCCCCACGATTTGGGTGGACGACAATTACACCACTTACCAAAGGCAGTACAACGATTTTTTCAACTTGGTGGGAAAATACGGTGTGGATCACATCGATGGTGTGTCGGTGGGGAACGAAGGTATCGTGTTTCACTTACTTACTCTCACCGGTCTTACTCTTTATTGTCATGTCTCCTTTAACATAAAAAAAAAAAAAAAAAAAAACCTCTCAGTCATCTTCCGTAAAGAGTTACAGACGACAGAATTGTATAAACGTATCGCCGATGTTCGTACCAAGGTAAACTCGATGGGTTTCAAGAAGACGATACCGGTTTTCACCTCGGACCTGGGCTCAAATGTCGACGCGGCTTTTGTGAAAGCGACCGACATGATTTGGGCAAACGTGCATCCATATTTCGCAGGTGTGAAAATTGAGCAGGCAGCAAATTGGACACTCCAATATTACAATGATAACGATGTCAAAATAGCAGCTGATGGCAAAAAAGATGCCGTGATGTCGGAAGTAGGTTGGCCAACCGATGGCGCCCCCTATCAAGGATCCGTTCCTACCATAAAAAACCTACAAATTTTTTTGGATACCTTCATTTGTGATGCAAATAAACAAATTAAATACTATTATTTTGAAACTTTCGATGCTCCGTGGAAAAAGCAAAGATGGACCACCTTGGAAGGAAGTTGGGGATTGTTTAACCCCGATCGATCCTTGAAGTCAAATATCGTTCTCCCCACTTGCATCGCCCCATAATCATAGTATTTACAAAACATCAACAATTTATTTTATTAATAATTCCATTCCATTAGAATTCAGTAGTTATAGAGTTTTATAAAATAAACATCTTTTTATAACTTAAAAAAGAAATTTATTATACTTGATAGGCGCGACTATTATTATAATTTATGATGTTGTTTTATAAATATCAGTGTTCCTCTCTCTATTATACAAGATTTACCCATACATCCAGTCGGGATCCTCCTCCTCCGAATCCTCCAATCTCAATCGTTCCAATTGTTTTTTCTTCCAAGCCGGATCATCCGATTCAACCTCATGACGACAACTTGGGCACGTGTTATGCTTTGTTTGTTATGCAATGAGGAACGGATCAAAAGAGGAATTATGAGCGACCATTGTTCGCCTGTCGTGTATAACCTGACAATATCATTCATTGATACTTACAAGCTGCAGCCAAGGTAAAATACACTCTTTATCGAAAAGATGTTTACAAGGCATACGTGTCACAACACTATTATCATTTAGCGAAAATTTTTCGGCACATATGGGACACGCTTCATCTATTGCATTTTTTAATTGACGCGTCAATATTTCATGTTCACGCTTTTCCACGAAACACCTGCCGGTGATCAATACATTACCAGCCTTAATCTCTGACCTTGGAACTAGGGGCAAGCTTTGAATAAATTTCTTACTAGCCGGCGGAGGACCTTTCGCGCTTTGAATAAAGCCGAATGAGAAAATGCAATAGCTAGTATTCGTTAATCGAACCGAGATTTTTTTATTACTTGGCATTAGCCTCTTCTAATAACTGAGAGATCAAATTATCCAAGAATTCTTGATTGGTGTCGGCACCGTTGCCTGCTCGCCTATCTCTTATGGCACCGAAAAAACTAACAAAATATTGTAAACGAAGAATTAGATAATATTTTTTAGAGATTTGCGAAAAAAAGAGGAAGCTCACTTTGCCAATGAAAAATATCTTTCCACATTAGAATAGTTTTCATGATAATCCTCATTCTGTCCTGTCTCATTAGTACCTCTGAAAAAGTGCGAAACATCGGGATTATTGGTAGAGGTCGTTTGTGACTTTTTTTTAAAGGTTGGGTCTGGTAAGCCTTTTTCTTCTGATGTTTCGAGGATTGACGCGTTTGACGTAAAAAAAAAAAAAAATGACAAACATCGGTAAAAAATTCCTCGCACAAAGTTACCTATACTCACCAAAGTAAGATGCCATTTTGTATACGTTCTATATGAAGTATCCTCGTTTGGGTCGTTTTTATGCTCAATTATCGACGGTGGGACAAGATATTACGTGTGTGCATACGTATGCTCCGTACGCTCACGGGTTTAAGGTAACACGACGCAAGTCACGTACGTAATCCTAATGTTGCAAGCATCCACGTTGAAACGTAGACTTAAAGCCCTGATTGTTGAATTCGAGAGAGCAAGGAAAACTTGGTTTGAACTTGGTGACGATGGACTCACTCTTGCCAATTCCCTTATCAACTTAAGACTACAAGAACGGTACCATAAACTTTCGAGGTCATTTCTTCATTCCATTCGCGCACTTTACTAAATTTCAACTTGGAATGCTGTCAGCAAAGTCGAATTTCCGGCATGCTGCTCATCAGTATTAGATGATTCCCTTGATTCAAAAGAAAAATGGGATGAGAACTTTGAGAATTTGGGCGAAATCATATCGAACCTGTCCCAATCCTTGCATCAAATTCTCGAGAAAATGGTACATATCTTGCGGCAAAGTTTTGAATCGGTTTTGCAAAAACATAATGTTTATATCGCGATTTATGTTAGGCTTCGCAATATACAAAAATGAAAATTCAAATTGTGCAAGTAGAATTTTTGCTAGAAGAAGCATGCGAAAGTTTAGGTGAGGAATTTGTATACAACATTCCCTTATACTCGACATGTACTTTAGAAACTTTTGGTAAGTCCACAATAAAAAAAAAAAAAACACAATCAACTGCCGATTAACCAAGCTTGCTAATATATATGGTTTTTACTCTAGTTCATCACTTCGTCGGTATCTTTAATATGTTCACGCGGGAGATTGACTTGAAAAATAAGATCTTTCTTTCAATACAAAATGTCAACCACGAGCAAGCGATGGTATTGCTGTCAACATGGTTGAACCAGCCATACATCAACAATGACAGAATTAGAGAGTTTGAAAGAATCTGTGAACTCGAACTTGAATTTGATGAAAAAATCACCACCTAATCGTTAAAATATATATACTGTATATACTTTAATTCGCTGCATTGACTATCACATGACGATTAACTTAGTCATTTATTTAATGGATTAGACTTCTTTAAAAATACTCTAAGTCAGATTCAGGTATTTCCCTGATAGATTGATACTATGATCTCTATCTATCAGGATTATTGTATTTCCCTGATAGATTGATACTATGATCTCTATCTATCAGGATTATTGACAACAGTTCATCACTGTCAATTATCCTAAAAAATTATTGTTGAATTAATAAATTAAGCAAGAAAAAAAAATAAAAAATCAAAATAACTTTAAATAATTCTTATTCAAGTTAATAACTTCTTAAGCTTTAGATTATTTAATGAATTTATCTATTCTTGATATAAGTTTCTTCAAGAATATTGAGAAACTTATTCTTTTACTAATATATAGTATAAATTTATTTATTATATCTTTAAAGTTAGTATTGTATTACAAGAAAGGTTTTAACTAATTTAAATTAAAAATATATTTTTTTTAAACTTGTTTAACTAGAATTAAATAAGACTTTAACTTTCTTTTTGAAAAAACTTGATAAAAAATGAAAATTAATATGCTATATTATTCTTCACTTGCTTTTTAATATTATAATTGTTTTTCTTAAAAATTGTTCAATTGAAAAGAATTTTTTTATAGATTTTTATTCATATTATTAATAATATTAATAATATTGTCAAACCCATAATTATAATTCATAAAAATTTATTTTTATTTTAAAAGCTAATATATTTTATATTGTTCAATTGTTTTTTGTAAAAATTATACTATTTAAAAATTTAAAATAAATTAAGATAATCAAATTTTTTTAAAAAATTATAAAAGTAAAAATTTTTAAAAAATATAAATAATTATTATAAAGAAAAAATAAGTCTTTTTTATTACAAAAAATCTTTGTTATAACTTATTTTAAAGATAAAAAAGTCTTTAAATACTCAACAACTAGTTTTTTTTAAATAACTTTTTTATTATTAATAAATCGTAAAATGATTTTATTTAATTTCTTTTTATTATCAAAAATTAAATTTATATTTAAAAAAATTTTAAATAAGAAAATAAAAATAAAAGTAATTCTTAATATCCTTTTTAAATTGTTTTAAAAAAATATTAAATATTTTTAATTTATAATTATACATTATTATAATTATTATTATTATTATTATTATTATTTAATTCATTATTGAATTGATATAACTTGTTTTTTATTATATATTTAAAAAAATATTTATAAATTAAAATTTAAATAATATTTATATATCAATTTATCTATTATTAAAATTAATCTTGTTTAAATATAACTTAAAAAATAATATTTTATTTCTTTTATAATTTGAATTATTCTTTAATTATAAATTTATATATATATAAATTATTACAATAATTATAAATATATTGAATGGAAAAATGAGAAATGGACAAGAAAATAGTTCAACTAGTGAAAAAGATCTCAAACAGTGGTCGGGATATACTTAGCTTTTGCATGGGACTGATTGGTAAAGACCTAATAAATGTGATAGTAGATTCGAAGTTTTATAGAAAAAGAATTAGTAAAAAAACAAGAAAGTGAATAATAAAAATACATAAGAAAATACATAATTACTTCAAAAAGAAAATTTGAAATGTCAAATGCAAAAAAGTGATAGAGTGGGAATAGATATTGGAATCAACAGAGGTGCCAAGATCAAAAGACTGACATATTTACAGATGCAAAAAATAGGATCAAGGTATCAGGAAATCAGTCATATCAAATACCATTAAAGGAAGAAGAATTAAAAAATATGTTGCTCAAATAGATTCTATGAAATGAGATAAAGTATGAGATGAAATGATTGAATTTTAATCTTTATCAAAACTTAAAAGAGTAATCTGCAGTAGTAATCTGCAAGCAATAATATTAGAAGTTGAAAGGATATTTATTTGAACTTCTAATAGAGCAATAAATTACTTTCAAAGTTATACATAGAAAGGTAAAATAACTAAAATGAGTAAGTTAGTTAAAGAATTAGCTTTAGTATCTCATATTATATATACAGCTTACAAATATTTAATAAAACATATGTAACTAGCCTAACAAAAGGTAAAAAAAAATATATATATAATTATAAATATATTATTATAATATAGTTTTCTTAAAAAAAAAAAAAAAAAAAAAAACTCTTTCCACAAATCCCTCAGATCCTTAGAAATTTTCTTTTTAGGCAATACACCCAAGGAAAGAGACAAC